TGGCTGACTAAATACTTTTTTGCCCCACTGTACATCCCAGGTAGAAATGATTTTTCACCTTTATTATGGGACAATATTGTGCAGCTCCTGTTACAAGGATAAGTCACTTTAGTTATTAAAGTTGTTGAAGAGTTAAACAGCTATGTTGTACTTTTATTTAACACCTCCATTAAAAACACTGCTTGCATTTGACCCTGTGTACCCTGCTGTGGCTCTACTGCTACAGAACAATGCTGCTGCTCCTGGCACCCTGACAGATTCACATTTTTTTAATCATCAGTAACTCATATAACAGAAGGATGCATTTCACCTACCCCTGGTGTAAATGACATTAATGTGAATTCATTCTTTAAATGCTGATAGAGTCTAAACCGTGTCAAAAACTTTGTCTGTCTTATTGTTGCTTTGGATGAACTGAAGCATCCGCTCGTTCTATTAACCGATGTGAAAACTGAACAAACACAACAAAAACTGGAAACTGATACAGTTTGTCTTAGAGTTAAAGTTGTGTCTTTGGAACATACCGCAGCATAAAAGGATGTAAAAACAAAAAAAGAGAAAAAAAGACTTGTAGTGAAGTCCAACACTAAAATATTTGATGGACATTTCAATTTGGACATATTTAGCCATAATATAAACAAGTGCAGAGTATCAGTGAGGAGGAAGAGAGCGCTGTTATGAAAGGGATGAAAACTGGAAAAGTGGCAGGCTCAGACTGCATACCTGTGCAGGTACAGAGATGTTTAAGAGAGACGGCAGCGGACTTTTTAACCAGTCTGTTTAACACAGTCTTGGAGAGTGAAAGGATGGCTGAGGAATGGAGAAGTGTGCTGGTACTGATGTGCAGAGCTGTAGGAACTACAGAAGAATAAAGCTCATGAGAAATATCATTAAGATATGAGAACGAGTTGCTGAAGCAAGGTTAAGAAGAAAAGTGATGATCAGTGAGCTGCAGAGTGAGCTCATGCTGAGAAACAGCACTAATGTTTGGATTCAGTGCTGATGGAGAAGTATAGACAAGCTCTTTGTGAATCTACAGAAGGCATATGATTGGGTGCCAAGAGAGGAACTGTGGTCCTGCATCAGGAAGTCAGGAGTGAAGTATGTGAGGCAGGTGGTGCAGGACGTATGAGGACCGTGTCACGGCGGTGAGCTGTGAGTAGCTGATAGATGGGATGGCGGTGGGGGTGGGATTACATCAGTGATTGGCTCTGAGCCCCTTCTTGTTTGCAGTGGTGATGGACAGACTGACAGATGAGGTCAGGCAGGAGTCTCTGCGGACTCTGGTGAAGCCGAAGGAAGAAGCAGCTATACTGTAAACAATAAAATAGGGAACGATGTTTTGGCTTAATGCTGGAACCGGTCTTCTAACTAATGGGATGTTAGCCATCATCTCCTTCCTCCACTAGAAGGCATTTATGGTTTTATTCTGAACTAGTTTTGAAATTTAACCTTTGGGTTAATTTAATGTTACACAAACCATCCGTGGAGCGACCATATTGCATACACAGCACTTCTGTGGTCAGAGGATTAGTAGATGTGTTTGAGCCCCTGTCAGTCAGAAAATCAGCAGATTTCCTTTTGATCTTATTTCAAGTTGGTAATTAAGCTAATACTCAGCACATGAGGGATATAAGCTGTCATGTTCACATGAATGCTTGCAGACAATATACATCTCCTGTGGCTCAGGAGGCTGTGCAGTTGGGAGGTTGGTGGTTCAGTTCCCATTTGCTCCAGTCTGTGCGCAAAGCTATCACTGTGCAAGATAGTGAAGCCTGAGTTGCTCTCTGATGTGTTCATTGAAGTGCTAATGTTGGATAGAAAGCACCTCAGGCACAGAAAAAAGTGCTTGTATGAATGGGTGAATGAGGCTCGTAAAGTGCTTGAGTTGAAAAGCACTAAATAAGATCCAGTCGATTTACCAGCGTGCCACGCTCTGAACTGGAGATTGTTATTCCTGGCTCTACTTAATTATGTTTGGATTTGTGTATCTGTGTTCATTGGATTTACCAAAACCTCCCTGAAACGTCTGCAGGATGTTCAGAAAGCTGCAGCTGATTGAGACTTCTAACTACTCCTATATCACACTGTTGCTAAAACAGTTGCACTGGCACCCAGCTAGCTTCAAAGTCCATTTTAAGATTCTGGTTTTTGCTTTTAGAGCCGTGCATGGACAAGCACCTGTGGACATCAGTGAACTTTTGCATCTAGACATCAGCTAGCTGTGCAGCACACAAGGCTGAGAGGGGAAGCAGACGGCGCTTTTGCAGCAGTGGATCCAGACTCAGCAGCTCTCTGCCTATCAGCTACTCAATGGTCTCTTTCAAAAAATTCAGCTTCTTATCTTCATTTTTTTAGCACCTCAGTTGTGAAGCACTATAATTTTTTACTTTATTTTCTTTACTTTATTTAGTATTTATCGAACAGTTTGAATAATGGAATAAGCTGATAGTCCGCAGTGCTGAACTGTATCACACGTCTTCATCCAAAGCGAAAAATCCCCAAAGGTTTCATATCCTTCAGACATCATCAGTAAGTAAAGAATTTATTTAGATGTGTCGGCACACATTCGTTTGAAATTTCCCTGGAAGAAGCCCACACAGGCACAGGGAGGACATGCTTACTCCACACAGGTTTTAACCAGGAGCCTTCTCCCTGTGAGGGGACACTGCTAAGCAAGACATTAAGAACAACTGCTGCTGTGCCAGCTGTGTAAGTGCAGGCTGGCTCTGAGGAAGCTTGAGGGTTTTATGAAAGTCAAACAGCTGGAAGCCACAAACACAACTTCAGCTCACGTCACATCAAATCTGAAGTGCATCAGGTTCAGTTCAATTTTACTTATACAGCAACAAATCACAACAACGGTCGCCTCAAGGCTCTTTATATTGTAAAGTAGACCCTTCAATAATACAGAGAAAAACCCAACAATCATATGACCCCCTATGAACAAGCACTTTGGCGACAGCGGGAAGGAAAAACTCCCTTTTAACAGGAAGAAACCTCCAGCAGAACCAGGCTCAGGGAGGGGCGGGGCCATCTGCTGTGATTGGTTGGGGTGAATCAGAGATTCAATCATGATTAGCCTCACAGGTCTGTCTGCCTCCGCTGAAACGTGAAACAAGCTTAACCTCCTAAGACCCGAACTCTTCGACAGCATGCATTTTTAATTTCTCTTTGATATTTGGGCTGATTGGGGCCCGATGAATGTAAAAACATTCAAAATTACCAGATTTTTTTTTCCCTTATTTTTTTTTTTAAGAAAAATAAGAGCTACATGAGGATATTCATTTAAAAATTTGATAGAACAGTAGCAGTATAATGTCCTCGTAAGTGGATATCAGGTCCTTGTAGAGCAAAATTGGGTATTTTGGTCTAAATAACCCAAAATGTGATGTCCACATATGTGGGCGCAGGTCCTAGGAGGTTAATGTTAAAGCTAAAAAAGAAGCTTAATGACTGTTTTGTCCACAAAAGGCCGGGCTAATGCCACACGCTGGATGCGTGAGAGCTGAAAACATTAACAGTCCACTCCTCTCACACTGACAGCAGAACAGTGGTTTGTTTTATTTTATGTAGTTTATATATTTTTAGCAGCTTTTAATACTATTTCCTGTAAGCTGTAGACATTCACGACGGCCGTCTACCACGCCACTTCATTTCTACTGTTTTCTGTCTTCTTCTGTTTAGACTTTTCATTTCTGTGCCCACGGTGTAATGATGTAAGCCTTCAGTGTGGCTTTAGCTTTAAATATACTGTTTTATTTCTATCTGTGCATTATTCTCTTCCACCAGACGTGAGACCTCTTGAAAACTAATGATTTATCATTGGAGTCTGTTTACACAGAATAACCCTGCGACTGAGCATCTTTGATCTTACACATATGATGCTGTTACAACCAGCCAAAGAGCTGCTTTGAAGAACTGAAAAATCAATAATTTAATGCATATAAAATCTTAATCTACATACAGAGAAGAGGCCTGTGAAGACCTTTGTTTCTGAAATGTACATATAAATACAGACACACTAATTTATACTCAGAAGATGTGTTTTATTTGCAGATCCCTAGAGGCAGCAATATATTTTTCTTAAAAGCAAAAACTGTATTGGTTCGCAAATGACACGTTGCAGCTTTCTGAATATGGATTTCCTCACTGACCGAGTTTCTGCAGTTTTACACCAAATAAATTCCAGTTCTACATGAAGTAAAAGATCAAGAAGACTTTGATTAGAAACCCCCCCCGGAAAAAAAAGCATCGTTATAGCATTAGAAGAAATACAACTTGGCATGGATCACGACATCTACAGATGACACTGTGATCTGTAGCAAGAGTAGAAGCAAAAGAGCACATGTGTGTGAATGAGACGGAGACGGGTGTAAAGGCGAAGCTGCAAGGAGCAGAGGTAGGGAAGATGGATGAGTTTAAATATCTGGAGTCAACCATCCAAGAGAGAGTGCACAAGAGAGGTGAAGAAGAGAGTCCAGGCAGGGTGGAGTGGGTGGAGAAGAATGTCAGGGGTGATTTGTGACAGAAGGATCGCAGCAAGAGTGAAAAGGAAGGTTTACAAGGTTGTAGTGAGACCCGCTCTGAGGTCTGGTTTGGAGATGATGGCACTGACAAAAAGACAGGAGGCCGAGCTGGAGGAGCTAAGATTTCCACTGGGATTAGAAGCGCGTACATCAGAGGGACAGCTCCGGTTCAGCGGTTTGGATACAAAGTTAAAGACACGAGGCTGAGATGGTTTGGACATGCGCAGAGGAGGGTGAGTGGAAATGCTGAAGATGTCAGGCAGGAGGAGGAACGGACGACCTCTAGGGAGGTTCATGGATGTAGTGAGGGAGGACATGCAGAGAGTCGGAGTAAGAGGGGGGAAATCTTAGGGATAGGGTAAGATGGAGGAAGATGATCTAATGCGGTGACCCCTTAAGGAAGCAGAAGAAGATGTGCAAGTAGAACTAGACATGAAAAAAGAAATGCTGAGGAAGGTTTAAGGTTCTTACAGCTGTTGCTGTGGTCATCCACCAGTATGACCTCTTTGAGCAGGTGGGAAGGAGTCCTCTGGATGGCCGTGTGGATGGAGCGCAGCAACACCGACAAGGCCTCGTTGACAAAGATGAAGATGACACTGAGCTGGGGAAGGTCTGATGAGTAGGACATGTTTCTGCATCTGAGGGGAAACGCCAACATTCAGAAGCTTTGTGAGCCAAAATCACATCCTGTTAAATCCTTACAGGAGAACACCACCACACCGACACTCACCCGTCAGGCCGTAAATCTGGAATCGGGCGGGTGAGGGAGATGCGGTCGCTAAGGTAACCGTTGTAGCCATAGTACTTGAACTTCTTGAGGGCAACCCTTCGGCTTTCCGGGCCAAGGTCGTGACCCCAGTGGTTGAAGAGTGAGGAGGCGGGGTCTGAGGCTGCGTCTGACGAGGATGCCGCATCTTCCCCATCCTTCAGAGGAGTTTCTGTGGACAGAGAGAGGGAGCGGTCGATGACTAGGATTATACAGTTAACCCTTTATCACCCAGGTATCACACAGGCTGCCTGGACTTGTTTTGTACCTTGTGAACGCTTTGTGCTTCTGTAATAAACCGAATATGAGCGAAAATCTTCTTTATTTTCAGAAACCATTTGAATTTTTGTCTCTAGTACCAACGGGAACAGAGTTACGCTTTCTCAGGAGAAATGACTATGACCAAGTCTAAGCGCTCCATGTGGTTATCAAACAAAACCTGTTGACTGAGGGCTGAAAGAATCATTTCTGCAGCATCGGGAAAAAGGATGGAACTCAAATGGGATTGAAGAAACAGGGATTTTTATTGTCATTCCAAATAACACCATCAGGCAGCTGCGCAGATCCGTTTCTGCAGAAGTGGAAACACATCCTCTAACGTGCCCCAATGTGACACTATTTGGTTTTCAGATCAGCTCGGACCACTGCGCCACACATGCACATGGTGGAAAACAGTAACAACCAAAAACATGCTGTAGGCATATTTGGTGGTTTGAAATGATCGATTTAAAAAATATATAGCATGCAAAGAGGCTTTAATGTATTCCGCTTTTCACTGTGCAGGCTGCAGAATTTGGATGCAGCAGTCTGTTGTTTGTCCGAATCACCAAAAGATGGGGATCCTCTGAGAGAATGAAATATTCATGAACTGAGGCCGGCTGGAACTCCTCACTCAGGTGTGAAGGTGTTGAAAACACAGAAAGTATATAAGCAAAAACTTTTTTCAATCCATAAAAACGAACTCAACACCGAGCCACGAGACTCCAGCATGGAAGTCCCGATCTTGAATGTGTAATATACACCACAGTGGTTTGAATGCTTGAAGTTAAACTCAAACAAAATAAAAAACAGAAATATGAATTAATTCAATTTTCCAAAAAGATCAAAAAGTATTTGTTTTCTTTTCCCATGACAGCGGTTGACAGTTGCTCAAAGCGCTGTCAACTTTTATAACCTGCTACTCACTTTTTTAAACCCCTTTTCATGGAGCCCACGTACTGTAGCGTTGGGCTGTCACGCTGTAAGACATTTGACATTTGGCAGGACCCACTGTGCTGTGCCAGGTTTGTATTTCACACAAGGTGACAACGTTTAGTACCTCCTGCTCAACAAGGGAAAGTTGGTAAGCTTAAAGTTCTCATCTACAACTTCCAACTGAACACTAAACATCATCACGACTGCAACTCATCACCCAAGAGCTTGTTATGATTGAGGATTCAGGGTGCACCAGTCTGCCGCCGCATTAAAACCTGGTGGTTTTAATTAAATTTGTTTTAAACCAATTTTAAACTAATTAAAACCTGGTGACCCTCGCCAAAATCCCCCGATCCTAATCGTTTTTTAGCATCGGCACGTGTATTCTTGGACCTGTGGAAGTGGTTGCCGGCAAATTGACGGGGTCGTCCTTGGTTTGCGTGGAAGACAGTGACTCGTCTGCAAACTACTCACGGCAAGAGTGAAAAAGTGTGACACAAACCAGAAACAGATCATTTAGTAAAAGTAAAAGCTCCTTTTTAAATGTTACTTTGAAGGTGAATGTTTTCCACTTTTTTAAGTTTCAAGCAGAAAGTGAATTCAAGTGAAAGTCTGAGCTTTGAGCGTGCTCATTTGAAGCCTGCACATCTTTTATAGATATTGTGTTGCACTGTCTCTTTGCCCCCCAAACTATGTGCGACATTGCCAACTGCACTGGTCTGCATTAAATATTTAATAAGACAATATCCTTTATGTATGGGATAATTTTGTACTGAACTGAAGTCACATATTGGGCAAGTTATCAACACATGACTGAACATGATGTCCAACCAAAGACAAATGTAAAAAAGCCTGAAAAAGAGGAGGGTCACACTCTGCTCCTCATATTTAAAAAAAACAAACAAAACTGCATTGATCAAGATCAGGATAGCATGACAGGTTTATTGGGATTACAAGAATATTATGTAGGAGTGATGGGCAATATGTAGTGATTTGTTATTAAGGTGACATTGAAGACGTCAGTGGATGTAAGCTGAATTTTGAAGGATTGCTAACATCACCCCGCTCTGCACCCCTACTAAGTTTCATCAGAATTGACTAAAACATTTCGAGCTCTCACATTTATCGCATCAAAAACACAACCTTCTCTGTGGAGGTAAAAAGAAAAGGGAAAAACAAATGTCCAACAAGAAATGGTGATACATTTTCAAACACCTGAAAGGTGATAAATTATTCACTTCTATGTTCGTGAAAAAAGCAGAGGTGCAAAAATTGTCCAAGAACTCATTTGAGCTCTTTAGTCACTTTTTCTTTAGAGGAGATGACTAACAAAACACAAACTCCATCACGTGATCGTGACTGGCTCATGTTCTGATGGGGGTTTTTTTTAAATACAGGAGTTTTCTCCAGACTGGGATGCTTTTATCACGGGTAATTATGGCACATCACAGTAACATACTCCACAGGTTTAATTTTGGTTTCTGCAGTTTGACTTTAAGATTTTGACTCCAACCAGCCGACTATCTCTACTTCTATTTTCAGCCCTCAGTGGAGGACTGTGAAGTGCCTCCTTCCTGCAGCAAATGGCTTTTTTTTATTACTTTGAACAGCAGTACTTCCCCCTTTGGTAATAACATACTCAGTGCCCTCGTGGGTGAAATGGCACCTCCCTCCAAGTCCACTCATAGCCTCATAATAAGCACCCTAAAAGCACTACAAATGATTCGGTGTTCCATTTTTCTTGGCCACAAATGCATTCTGAGTCATGCAAAGTTTTTAAGAGTTTTAAGTCACCTCATTTGCAGCCATTTATATTCACTGATGCATTTAGTTAATGCATTGTGCTTTTCAGAACAGACAAAAAAAGTAAAAGCTGGAGAGGGGAAAAGAAAGATGGATGGCAGATTGAACCCGTGTGTGTGTACTCTGTGCTCGGGTTGAGAACAGATGAGCAGAGGGAGTGTGCTGTGACCTGCACTGCACTGTGTTAGACAAACCTCATTACTAATTCAGTTGGACCAAGCTACCCTTTACAGCACAGCTGGAGGGCACATCATAGCTCTGTACAAGACGTCAGGGAGAATAAAGTGGGACAATGCTGAGGTTGTGTCCGTGTGCGTATTATACAGTACCAAGTGTAATATTTGTACAAATGATGTAGGTGCAACAGAGGGACAGTGCTGACGGCGTGTGACAGTGTAATATTAAAGTCAAATTTAGCGTACTACAAGTGTGGGAATGTGTGTGTGTGTCATTTACTGTGGATTTCCACAGGAAAATCTGAGGGCCAAATATGCTGTTTAAACATGACTGATAAACATCAATGGAACACTTTTAAATCAGAGAACAGCATCAAGTCAGGTAAAGTTCTGGGGTATTGATCTGGTCAGTAACAGAGGGGGTGTTAATCGGTATCAGCTGCTTTGGTGTTCGTGAAATTAACAACAGGAGCTCTAGAGGGGCAACAATGTCACAACCCCCAAAGCAGGAATGGTTTTACTGGTGGAGGCCACTGACATTTTCTCCTCCTCATGTTTACAGAGTCTTACGAGCATGGAGGAGATTCCAGGAGATAGACAGGGCCGTAGAGGGCCCTTAAGCCACCAAAATTATAAACAGAGTCAATGAAGGTGGCAGAGAGCCCAACGCCATCTAGTGGGCCCTGAGCTCATCTGCCATAGAATACCAGAACTAGCAGTTCCACCATTGCCACCCTGTGATTTCCACAAATGAGAGCAGGTTCACCCTGAGCATGTGTGTGGAGAACATTGTGTTGTCTGTAAGTGTGACGGCTTTAGTGATGGATCAGTGATTGCATATCCGCGGAGGGATACACAGGCCTATTCAGGTTTGGCAACGCCACCCTGGCTGCCATTAGGTATCAGGATGAAACCGTTGGACCTGGGCTGGGACGAGAAATATGCTTTAAAATTCAACCGAATTTAAAAATACGTCTGCACTGCTGCAGCAAACAGTGCAACTTTGTCCAGTCGTACCCTTGTGGGGCGTAGGAACTTGGCGCCACATCAATATCTGCTCAGCTACACACAACACAATGCACAAATCCAGAAAAGAATGAGAGTGAGGTAACACAATTTGAAAAGAAAATCAGCATTTATGGCCTTAAAAAGAAGCTTTGGTGATGCAAAGGAGGAAAATGTCATCTACTAATCTAATAAAATGGAATCTAGAAAGAAACAGACAGGAGGAACAAAAAATTATGATGACAAGAGCACAAAACACAGAGGACAAAGAAGTGCTGACAGGATGCTGAGTGAGGTACGAGAGAGTGATGGAGAGGGCGAGAGGCAGAGAAAGTGATGAGGAGAACAAGGATAAAAGGGATGTGACAGAAGGTATTCATCCCCAGGCATCTGTAAACTAGGAAACCCTGAGCTTTGTCTCTCCAGATTGTGGAGAGACACACTTTTATTAGCTCAGACAGACACCATGACACACACACACACTTCCTGCAAACCTGAGGGCATCAGAGCTGGACTCCCTACAACCTAATGGATTAGAAATGAGACGCACTGCTGGGTGACAAAGTGGCTCACCTTGTCCTCCAGTCACTTTATGCAAAATTGACATACGATTGGCTCAGCAGGCTGCACGCTGCAACCGGCTCTCCAGCCTCAGCACAACCTCTGCAATCAGAGCTGAGATCAGCCTCAATCAGGACTGAGAGCAGGACTATTCCAGATTAGAATCACTGTAAACAATGTGCGAATGACTACCAAAAATATAGAATCTCTCTTCTATAAACACTTTTATTTGGACAAGGGGTTGCAAATGTTTGATTTTGTATATTTTGGATGTGAAATCTATTGTTATCCACTTTTACTGAAGCTCGAACGAACAACGTGAATATATATATAGCGGCGGTCTCTAAGAAATGTTCCTTTATTTAAAGTAAAGTAACAGAAAAATTACATTAAATTAATCAAATATGACAAAACGACATCATTATTAGTAAAT